AGAGCTATTTTTCTCGGAGGGATCTTTATTGGATGGTGATTTCCTGTATTTATTCTGTGCTTCACAAGTCTTTGCAGCTAAGGTCATGATCTCCTTTTGAAAAGACATCTGCATAATTCGCCAAAGTTCCCTAACTTGAACAGCCTGTGATTATGACAAATGTTCTGGGAGAGGATGTCCTTTCTTTATGGTTGTATTTCTTGCCTTAATATTGACTGGCTCTACCTCCTGGCACACACCCAACAATGCCCCTTCTTTAAGTTTCTGCTCACATTTAGAGAAATTAGCCACTGTTATGGGTACTACTTGATGACCTGCCAAAAGTGACCTTCCAATCTTCACGTCTGCTGTCCTGGATGGGTCTTCCACTGCTTCCACAAGCACCGGGCTTCCTTGGGGATGTTCTTTTATTCTACCCCAAATTATCTTCTCTGATATAGTGGGTATGGTAGTTGATTTAATTGTTGTGACACGCACATCAACAGATGCAGCAACACTTACCAGAATTTGGCCTTTGTTGTTTCCAAACATCATTTTATCAAAATTAACTACACACTTCTTCGGTAGTAAGTAGTCCAACCCTAATATGCATTGGTCTTCAATGTCATCGAATTATACTTCGTGTCTGTCCTTCATACCAATGAGTTCAATAGTTACCCACACTGATCCCCACAATCTAGCATAATGTCCTGTCACACCACAAAGCTTCTTTACTGCTTCTGGTGCTCCTTTGTGATCTAGCACGTTGGTACTCACAAGGGTTTTCTGAAGTGGAGAATCTATGACAAAGTTGCATATTTGGCCGTACAACTTTCCTGTCACGTAGACACTATGTGTGCTTGCCATTTTACACTTAGCTGTTATGACTTTCACAATGGGGTTTGTTGGGCATCTCTCAACACCAACCATTACTGGTCTCCCTGAGGCTGACTTATTGGTAGTATTCTTTTTGCACTAGCTCTTTATATGTTCTTGCTCTCCACAGTTCCAACAACCTTTCCAGGTAGCAACCTTTCCTGCTGTGGCATCTTCCCTGTGTTGAAGTTGCCGGCATTGAGCTCTTTTGTGCTCCAGTTTGTTACAGTGCCAGCAAAGTCCCTCAAACTTCTTAAAAAGCTGCCCTCTTCTGGCCTTGAATCTCAATGACTGTACCAACCTTGGTACCTCTATGCTCGACTTATTGTAGGATTCGAATTCAAGAGCTCTGGCCATTGCATCCTGCATAGTAGAGGGGTATGCTCTCTTTACTTGTATCTTCAGTTGTGGATTGTCCAAGGTGTCTACAAGCTGATACTTCAGCAACAGCTTGAAGACATCGGGTGGTGCAGTTGGGTAGGCCTTGTGTGCCACACTTTCCAAATCCTCTGCCAGTTC